GTTTCTCACTTGATAAATACTTCTGACAGAGAAATACTCTTACGGTGTTCAGGAATTGCTTTTAGTAACTCTGATTTTACTCCCTGTACTGTCTGTGTGTGCAATTGTTCTTTCACAGATGGGAAGTCCTTTGGTCCGAGGCACCTACAAAGGTGAATGGTCCTCAGGCTCGGCAGTTCACCCCTTGTATCAAACAGATCAACTTTCCCACAAACTTAATCCGACTGGAAGTGAACAGCTCTCTTCTGGACTATTACACAGAATTGGATGCAGTTGTGCTACACGGGGTGAAAGAGAGACCTGTGCTCTCACTTAAGACTTCCATGATTGATATGAATGATATTGATGAAGATGAGGATGAAGAGAAGTACAGCTGTGGAATGGACAATGTTAATAAACAGTTCAGCATTGTTGCCCTCAGGGAATGGCCGACTAATGGATATTTTGATAAACTGCCTTATGAGGTAAGGAAAGCAGTTTTATATTTAATGCATTTGTCTTGATCGTGAAGGGTGCTAAAGTGCTTGATAGGGCACTGGTCAAGAGTGTTGTTTTTATCCAGTTCCTTGCATTCTTCTGTTACTCTCCTGCAGTTATTGTATAGCTATTCCTGAATTATGGAAGTCTGTCTACTTCCAGGGATGGATATTAGGAAGCCACTTAGCTGGTATGTGAATAGTTACTGCACTTCTGTTTCTCAAGAATTGGTCCATGCACATAGATTTTACACCAGTTATTCAACCATGAATTTTTAGATCTTGAACTCAGAAGCTTCTGGCAGTTTTCCAATAGTTTTAGTCCTCATGCTTAACAAAGATTATATACGTAGGAGATATGAAAAGATCAAATAAAGATCTGGAAGTGGAAATAGTTTGTAGTAGGCTAAAACTTTATTTCCTCTATATCTGTCTTACAAAACCCCAGAACTTTGTGAAACTGCAAAAATATTTTCATATGATTATGAAATAAACTGCTTCCATCCGGCTAAGTTTTGAATCATGGTGCAGGTAAAAAGTCTTCTTTGCACTTCTGTACACTGTCTTGTTTTGGTGTTCGCTACTTTTTGTTCTATCATCAGCATAGATAACAGTTGTGACAAAACTACTCCTTTCAGATTCCCTGGCAATGGGGCAGTTGCAAGTGTGCTCAGAGTCAGTGTAGACAAGTATTTTCTTTGCTGTAATTTCCAATGTAATGAGATGATGATGTTTAATTGCTCAAAATTGTGTGTGCAGCCCAGGAAATTCTTTTTGGGGTGTAGCTGTTTATGGAGGCTAGTAGTGTAGTTAAAGAATTGAGAGATGAAATAATTAACTTCACCTCTCCTAAAATAAATTGAGCTTGCACATAGTGGAAAGGAGCTTTTACTTGCCCATGAGACTTGGGCAGAGATGTGATTGTTCCTGCTTTTTGGGGTACTGCAAGTGTGTGTTTGCTGTGGTGGCTTATCTGATGCTCAGAGTGCTCCTGCTTGAGTCAGACTTGGTTTTCAAAGCGCAGCAAAGATGGTGAGAGGTGCTGTCACTGATTGATTGCAGGGCACTTCCAGAACCTAATCAAATAATATTTTGGTTTTGTCACATGTTTTGTCTGCAAGTATGTCAGTTCAGCATGCAAAGGCCGTGGTAGGGTGACCATGTGCCCTAGTAACCTGCAGATGTTTGCTGAGCTTGGAGAGAGGAAAAGGAGAAAGAGAATGTAACAACTGTCTCCGGTCTTGGTTCTGAGTGTTTATCTTCTAAGTCATCTTCAGTTCTTGAGTTTGGTGGGTTTCTTGTTGCTGTGGTGGAATAATAAATGAGGATACTGACTTCATCCTGAGGTAGGTCTAGTGGTGGTGTTTTTTCCCCACGAGTGTTTAATAGATTTTACTTATTTTTTGGTTGGTGCTTGTGTATCAGTACTTAAGTAGAGAAACTGCTTTGCATGTGCAAAGGTGCAGTTGATTCCAGAACATCTTAAAAGCATGTGTTTGAAGGTTTGAGAATGTGTTGATTTTAGTAGTTCAAATAAATAAATTGTAGAGAAAATTTGATTTAAATCTAGGAAGTTTTGTTTGAAAATGCTGGATAAATTGATTCATAGTATCATAGACTGTCAGAGAGCTTGATTAATATCTTTTCTGTTCCATGTGATTATACATATTAAGATTACAATTTAGGTAATATTTGTGCGGTCCTGTTAACTCCTATGAACTTCTACCTTCATGTACTTTATTATGCTTTTCTGCTTTCCTGTTTGTGTACCTGCTTTCTTTTTATCCATTTTTTAACAAGTTGGGTTTCATGAATGCATTTATATGGTCTATTAATACCAAGCACGTTTTTTTCTTCTGCTTTGATTTAAAGAAACTGAAAATATAGGTGGAATGATTATCAGAAAACTACAAAGGACTATTTCTGGACTGGTTTTGTGACAGCAGAAATCCCAGTCTCCTACTTTCTTGGTCTGGATGGAAGGCCTGGATATCAGAACAACAAAAATGGTGTACTTTGTAGTATGACAGTCTTTTATCCGATCAGATATGGGAACAGTACTGTCTGTGCTGTCTTCAAGACTGACAAGTGTCAGATTTTTCTGGAAGTGTTCAAACCTTGTAGTGATGAAGTAAGGCAACTGCTGACTCCTTCCAGTTTTGATTGATACATTAAATTAAAAATTCCATCTTTTTATTCCTGTTGATTGTGAATGTGTAGCTGTTCTAAGTCTTCATACCTCTGCCTATTCGTTATTTGAGCTATTTCAGACTTTCTCATACTACCCTCCATAATTCACAAAGTACACAGGCTGAGTGGTCTTCAATGCTAATCTTAGAATAGGCAGCAGTTCCTCCAGCCTTTGTTTTGCCTTTGTTGTCTTTCTGAAACTTCCATAGACGATTCTTTTGTAGACTGTGTTGTTCCTCGAAATGACATTAGGAATGATTTGCCACAGTATGAGCAGCAAAACAAACCACTGGAAGAGTCTAGATTGCAAAAGAGAAAAATGCTCTACTCCTGTGGCACAGACTTCCTTAGAAGAAAGTGTGAAATCTTGGATGAACTAGGTGAGAGAATTTTCCTACCCTACTCATGGACAGTGTTAACCAGCCCTTAGTAGCTGTGAAGTAATTGTACTGTCATCTGTTCTCTGGAATTACCTTAAAGTTGATGAAGGAGTTTCTGGCAGACACTTCATGTTCTTGTCTGTCTTCCCAGTTATCTTTGACTGACTTGTGCTGCTTGTAAGGAGAAGTAGTCAGGCTTTAGTCTTAGTTGGTTTACTTTTTTTTTACTCTGAAAGCCCGAACAAATTAAAAGCCTTTGAGAAAGATGAGGAATACCTGCCACAGCATACCTGTTGTGCAGTTTGAGGCTCACCAAGATGTGCCAGGTACCAAGAACCTATCTTTAGTTCTCCAGAGAGGAGAGTCAGGAGAAATCCTGCATGCTGCAGTCCAAAAGGTATTTTTTAATATAAAAATTTGTATTAAAAATATAAATGACATCTTTGTCATTCCTTGAAGCCAGTTTTTCCTAAAGCTGCCTTACAAGATTTGTGAGTTGTTCATGTCTACTGGGGAAGTGAATTTCACTGCTATATGTGGATTTGGCACCTGTGTTCCAGGAAGATGAGTCTTGAATGTAAGATTTGCAGCCCTTAAATGAACCTTAGATAGAAGAGTTGGAGTGATAAGCAGGAGCATTTCTTGAGTTGTACACTTTTTTTCCCCTCAACAAGTAATCTTCTTCCATCTTTCCAGAACAAATACTTGTAGGCTTTCAGATGTCTTTACAGCTAATAACCATATGGCACAAGATTCCCTTCAGTTAATGGCAAAATATACTGCTAGTTGCTGTAGCAGTCTAGGCTCAGGAGTACTGACACATGGAGATCTCTCTACCTTTAGTCCTCCTAGAGTCTCAATTATTTGATTGTGCGGTCTGTCAGCAAGATCCTTTTCTGTTCTTTGAATCAAGAAGAGGCTTAAAATCTTCATAACCTTTCATTGTTGAGGTGATCACAACCTATAGCCTGGTGATGTAAAGCCTACTCTGCCAAAGCATGTTATGTGAGTAAAGAAAAGAGAGACATAAATGGTTGTGTTTCTGAAACAGTTGCAAGATCCACTTCTCCTGTGTTCACATGCCTTATTAAAATTTTTTTGTATTTGCTGGTGCAAGCTATAGGATCATGGAACTGTGTTTTCTTAAACTAGGTTGAGGAATGTCAAAAGCCCTAGAATACCAGTCTCCTTGCCTTCTCCCTTTACCTTTTTGTGTACATACCCTTTGTCCTTTATCTGAGCATATCTTAGTATAATTCTCATTAATCAGAGTCCAAGCTGTAGACTAGTTGCAGAATGAAAAAATTGCCAGTCATTCATTTGCACTCTGAATGAGTGATTTTCATGGGCCAATGTATTTTCATATTGGAGAGACTCACACTTGAAGAACTGAAAGGAAATTTGTAGGGTGTGCAGACATTCTAGGTTTAACCAGCATCCAAGCATTATTTTTTATCAAATCTTATTGTGTGTTACTGTGCTTTAGCCACAGAAAGGATTTTATTTACTACAGAGTTATTGCTTGCTCTAATTCAGAAACAAGCTTTTAAAAAGCTGGAGAAACTTTAAGGTAGGTAAAGCTTTTAAGAAGCTACACTACTGGTAAAGTTCTAACCCATGTATTGAAGAGTGTGGTGGAGCATGTAAGCTTCCATCTGAGTTTATAAGCCAACGTTGAAGTGGATGACATGTCTGTTTTTTTAAGATGTTATAATTTTCAATTGATAATTCAAAATGTATGCATATATATGAGATCCTGCAATTAGGGGCTATGATGGTAAACACAGATATGAATCAGGGTCTTCTGTGTGCTCAAAAAGCACACAGTGAGCTTGTATACTGCTGTTTGTTGAATTGTTGTGGAGAATTTTGATTTGGAAACTTCCAGGTTTTGGAGGTTTTCACTGTAGTCAGTGTTGATCTCACCACATCTCTAAAGCTGACACGTGTCACGTTTGCCCTGGAAATGGGAAGTACTTTTGGTCCATTAGAGCCTAAAAAGGTCACCAGTGTTGTAGAAAATATATTTTGCTTTCCCATTTATACTCCTTTGTATTGTTTTTCCAATAATCTTCACTTTTACTGATAGATTTATAAGAAAGTGTGAAGCAATCATGGTTGCCATAAGTTTTCGTAAATGCAGCGTAGAAACAATTGTTTGTGAGAAACTGTTAGGAAATTAGTTTTCAAAGCAGATACTCAGTACTGCAGCATTTTTGGAATCTCCATGAAGATGGCATGGCACTGTATGGCCCATCATGTCACACACTCATTACGGTATCAAATTGTACTTTATGCAAGGATACACATATATAAAAAGTGAATTTCTGGCAGACTCCAGACTAACAGTGATTAATGGTTATTGGAACCTGTTACCTGTTTTTAATCAAAAGCCAGAAAAAAAGTACTTTATATCTTAATGTTGTCGTAGTGACATTTCATTCTATTTTTCATTCTAGATGTTATGAAGTAGCATAATTTCAGTAAAAAAAATAAAGGGGGATTATTTTTTTCTGGTTAAGACATTCATGTGGTAAGAGATTTCATTTTTAGTGAGGAGTAGTCACAGCCTACTGTATGTTATGAAACACTGATTGAAAACAGTATAAAGGGACATTGCTGAGGCACTTATAGTTTCATTCACCATTATCTTTTGGTAGCTCAGAAACTACCAAATATTTTTTTTTGCTGTGGAACAATACTGGTGTTACTTTGTTTTTATCAGACATTAGTATGCCACTTTAGGTGGCATCATAAATTTAGCCAACTGTGCAGCCTTCGCTGAGCTCTCTGCTCTAGAAAACTTACTAAATAAGAATGGGAAAAGACATTTAGGAAATAGATGTTTAGGTGGTTTATGAAGTGTTGAACAGCTGAAAGATTGCAAAATAATTTGAAGCTGTCTTTCAGAATACTGAAAATTAAAGGGAGTTGATGTTATTAGGAAATAGGTGTATGTTTAGGTATTTGCTATTAGAATGACAAGCAAAACTGTTGAGTAGCTTTTAAACAGAAGTTTTGGTTTGACTCAAGTAAAAAGAAAGATATCAACTTGGCATTATATCTGTGTTAGCTCCCAGTTAGTTTGTTCTCTCTCTAAATGTCAGTTGGGAGCAAACCTTGTTGATTACAATATATTAACTGCAGTTATTGTATATACCTGTGTGTGTGTATATATATATTTAGTATGTGCATATATATTTAGGATGTGCTGCCTTGAAATGTCTGTGCAGGTCATCGGCATCAAACTGAGGTGAGGCAAAGAGGCAACAACCCACAGAGGCAAAAAGTCTGGGCTGTTTTTAGGGGGGTAGGAGCAGCATGAAGGAGAGAAGAGAGGGAAGGCTTGAAAACCAAACTTGGGAGAAACTGGAGTATTGCAAACCCTGTGTTTTGGCATTGAAGCTGAAGTTAAATTTTTTGAAGAGTTGTAGATGATGTTTGAAATCCAAATACTAAATCTGGAGCTGAGTAGGAAGTAACATTTCTCATTTTGCAGGAAGTTGGATTGTTTTCTTATTTCTTCTCTTCCAAAAAATGAAGGGGGGAGGAGGGGAGGTGGAAGCTAGCTGCATAATAAACTGGTACGTTGGAAGCACAATCTGCTTGGATCTCACAAAAAGCTTCATTTTCATTTTATGTCAAGCATTTTGTTCTGTTTTTTGGCGGTTTTGTCTTATAAATCCTTACAAGACGTTACAATGAAACATGTTATTCTGAAAGAGCCACAGGACTCTGTTCAGTTTAAGTTGTTTTGTGTGTGGGGATGTTAGTTATTTATACAAGTTATTGTTTCCCACCTTGCTTGAAAACACTTGGTCAAGTGTATTATATGAGTTGAGTGCAGGTACTTACAGCTGTTACAGACAGCACTGGTAAATTAAACATTGATCTTTTCATGTTCCAACTGCACTTTCTTTCATTTTCTAAGCTAAAGCATATTTTTTTTTAGTATTTTTGTTTTTTCCTAAAGTAAGTATTTATGTGTCTGTTGTGTTGGTCTTCCTTTATAAAGAAAAACAGAGCCGGATATGAACTGGGGTATATTTCTTCATTTCTGAGTGTAAGGAGGGCCATTATGAAAACTTAGATAGTGATGCTAGTCAGAAGGGCTGGTGATTATTCTGAAGCTGAAATGATACATTCTGGTAAAGGGATTTTGCCTTTCAGATTTCACTCTGGCATAGAGCAAAAACAGTCTCAAAGTATTGCAGCAAGAAAGAGATTACTTCTTAAAAGAAGATCTGAATATGTTTAATTTTTTACCAAGTTGTGTAGTCCAGCATGGATGGGAGAGGATATAAGGTAGAAGACAAAACACTGAATTTTAAAACAGGAAGCAGACAAATAAACCTGAAATCAGTTCAGGGTGTGGGGAAACTGAGACATGGTACTCTTTTTCCATGTACTGTGCAAATATGCTACCATCTTAAAACACAAAGCCAGAGAAGAAGGAGGATGCCAACTAATGTTCTGATCAATGGCAGTGCAGGCACTGTGAAGGAAAATATGTAAACATAGTGTTTACATATATATCACTGTTTAAATTAGCATGGGTAAAGAAACTTCTAATTTGAAACCCTCCTGTCACTTTCATATGCTGATCTCCTTTTGCTTTCTTGTTTAATGTGTTGTCAATTTGAGAAGGCAGCACAGTTCTCTTTAATAGTTGATCAATCGTTTATTCGAGAAGTTACTTTTAAGTAAAAGGATTTACTTTTCTTTGAAGTTAGAGCATCTTTTATTATTCCTTTGCAGTTTTCCCTTTAACATGTCAAGTGCTTTATGACCCTCTGTGACTTTTTTTCTGTTTTTAATATAGCTCATCCAGTTGATTTTGAGTCACCTCACAGTACCAGACCTGTGTAGACTAGCGCAAACTTGTAAGCTACTATATCAACATTGCTGTGATCCTCTACAATACATTCATCTCAGTTTACAACCTTACTGGGCAAGAATTAATGACACATCCCTGGAATACCTACAGTCTCGCTGCACTCTCATCCAGTGGCTGAATTTATCTTGGACTGGAAACAGGGGAGCCATCTCTGTTTCTGGATTCAGCAGGTCAGTGCTAAATGTATAGAAGTATTTTGACAAGCTCTGTTTGCAGAGCTGCTCCATAATAGTTTCACTAAGTATTTGAAACCTTAGATGACAAGAAATGTCTTTGGTTTACTCTAAAGGGTGTGATTATTATGTTGTAGGAAAAAACAACAGCTAAGACAGTAAGAGATGCTAGATATAGCAACAGAAGCCTATTTGAATATGTAGAGTCTGCATGTGCCAAACTGCCTGTGACTGAAAGGCTTCTTCCAGGGGGAGCAGTGCTTTGCCTTCTGGGCTTCTAAAAGACTCCACTAGACCAAAGCTGTCAAAAGTCCACAGGAAGAAAATGTTTGTGGTTGTTCTTTGTACAGATGAGTCATCAGTAGGACTGTATTAGAATGGCTGCAGCAATTAACTGATTACAGTACCTGCTTACAGGGTATAGGCCTTAAGTAATCACTGAAGTGTAATGCACATGCAAATATTTTCATGAAAATGATTGAAAACATTAGTCCTGTTGGGAGACAGGGAGTTTGCATGTGCATCTTGCACTGAACTGAAAATATAACTGTGCTGCAGATCATTGAAAAAGCAGATTTGCAGGGAGTCATCTCTGTATGTGTGTTCTCTGCTTTCTTAACATAATGTCTTGCTTCTTTATTAATTTGCATTAGTTAAAGAGCATCTATCAGTGCATTTCATTTAAACAAAAATTGTTACTTTAACGAACAGGTAGTCAGCAAAGGCAGGTGAAAGCAGAACTTGACTGGTAACAAACAGAAATGTTTATTAAACCTTAAAAAAAATTCTTAACTCTGATTTGTTTTCTGAATTAAAAACTGAAATCAAGTATTTAAACATTTTATTTCCTTTGGTGTCTGGGTTCTTTGCCTGGGAAAGTAAAATAATTTTAAGAATTACTTTGTCCAGTTGAGAATGTTGCTTCTTTTTTTTACTGAGCTTCCACTATAATCCAGAAGACCTGTACTCTTTGGTGCTCGTTGGTATAAAAAGGAGATAGACATGACTGAGTTGTTGAATGGGTTGCAGACATTTTTCCTAGATTTGGATTTAATGTTAGATACATCATGCAGAGGATAAATATACAAGCTTTATTTGAGAATTTGACTCTGCAATAATGAAGTGCCTGCTCCCTGATGCCCTGCTAATACATCTTGCCTTTTGAAATCTTAAGAGTATGTGCATCTTCGTGGCATTTTAAAAAAATTTTCATTATTTTTTTGAACATGCAGTACTGCTAATTTTTTTTTGTAATATTGAAAGAAATGGACATCCAAATTCAGAGAATTATAAACGTTGAAGTTCTGATATTTCTGACTTCCAGTTGATTGAAAATGGCTTTATTGCTAATGACTTTTTTATTCAGTACTGAACTTAATAACAACAGTTAGGTGTAGACAGCATTTCTAAAATACTAAATATTTATTGTTTGACTATTAATAATTTGTGAATAAACATAGTCAACTCATTAATTATAATGGATGATATAACATGGTGGAAAAATGTTCTTGGACATTGATACAATTGTGAAGTCATCTGTATTTCTAGGAAGAAGTGTTTCTTGGAAGAAATACATGCAGTCTGGGAATGGGAAATGCAGTTCAGTTGTACATCTTTGAAACAAATTCGTAAGCTAAATAATTTGCAGCTTTGACTTATGTGCTGAATTTTCACTTTTGAATCAAAAATCCTCCACTGTAATTAGGTCTGGTTTTGAAAATTTTCTTTTTCCTAATTTAGAAGTAATTTTGCAACTCTTTATTCTCTAGTAAATTTTTCCTGTAAACTTTTCAAACACAAATTTTCCTTTCAATGTTCTTCATCAGCATGTTGGTTGAATTTGCTGGCCTTGAGGAAAAGAAAATTTGCTGCTTATTTTCTCTTGAAGTATCTATTAGTACAGGAGACTTATTAGAACAACACTTGCTTTTTCAAAAACATTAATGTAATCTCTTTCAAGTAAGTAGCTTTCAAATAAAAGAAACTGTTCCTTGAAGGAGAAATCTGTAATGTTTTAGTTCTATTGTCCTGGATGTTGTTAAGATACCACCACCATGTGGATGTTGCAGTATCCAGGGCACATAGTAATGATGAACTCCCACAGTTTTCCTTTTGAACTCCTAGATATTCCTCATCCAGCCTGACTTGTAGGAAATACTATGGAAAATGGAGTTTCCAAGTAATGGAGGTACTTTGACTTTCCTAGGAATTCTTTTTCACACTTAAATTTTATTTCCAGTTTATTCTTGAGAATATGAGTGTCAGAAAAGAGGTTCTCAGTTGCTGGGGAAGTGCATTGCTGCTTTTATCAGTTACCTGCTGATGTTAGCTTCTAGTAAAAACTTAATCAGATTTTCAGACTGTAACTGTCACTTGCAGAAATTAAATGCTTGTGTATTGCTGTGTCTCTGTACATGTCAGTAGAAGACATGTACCACTACATTTATTTCTGTAAAATGTTCTCTTGCTGCCCACTGTGTGAATGCTTCTGAATCAGTTTATTGGTTTCTCTTTATCCTGCTGTCTTTGGCCCTCCCTCTGGCTTTGGTGTGCTCTATTTCTTTCTCAAAGGAAATGATTAAATAAGGCAGTGAAGGATGCCTATAGAGTACCAAGCTACATCTTGTATTTTGGATTTAACTGGTGAAATAGTCTTCTTGCAACTTGAGGTTGAGATGAAATGAGCCTAAATTGCTTGTTCCAGTACTTCAGGTTTATACATTTTGTGACAACTTGCTGCAAAAGTGACAAGGAGTAGCTGTCAAGCCTGCTAGCTGGAGGTGCAGAGAATTCTGCCTGGAAGTTTTAACAGTTTGAAGGACTCCTTTATGCTGTTTTTAAAAGGCCAACCCATATTTTTCAGTTCAAGGAGAAAAAACATTATTTACTAAATTAAATTTGTAGGTAACTTCACAAATATCTTGCAGTATTGCTGCAAATATGCTGCAGTATTGAAAAGGCAACATGCTAAAACCAAGATAACTTATCCTCATAGATAACAGTATTTCACTTTTACAGGACCTGCTTTTAATTTTTTCTTAATTTATGCACTTTTCTCAATATTTGGCATTAGAGTTGGCACTGTGGAATTCAAAACTGGTATTTTTGAATATATACTGCTTATACAACTTAGGTTATGATTTCTGCAAGGCAGGGCATGTTTAAATGCTACTCTTACTCAAATTTTATTTTGGCAAATATCTTTCAAAAATGTTTTTATCTGTGGTTTCTTATGACAGTCTTGAAAGAAGTAGCACGTGTACATTTCTGTGTTGCTTTAAAAGGTTCACATAGACATGATTGTAAGAAATAATTGAAAATACGTATTTTCTGTCAAAATGTATTAAAGTAGAAAAGTTTTTAAAGGAGTAATTTTAAGAAATGTGACTGAAGCAAATACTATATTATCATGAGGAGATAGAATGCTTCAGGCATATTAACATCCTGAGGCAAAGCTGAAGGTATTTTAACTTATTGATAACATCTGCTCCTTAGGGCTAAAAATGACTATCATCAATTTTTCATTTCAGCATAGAATTTAAACTAACTAAACTAAACTTTATCATTTAGATTGAACTAAAAGTATTTGGAAGACTGAAAGACAAATGAAGCTAGTATGTGAGCAGTCTCAAGTGTCTGGAATAAAAAGTGCCAGGGAATAAGCAAAGGCTTCACAGCAAGCGTTGTATGAGCAGCACTGCATTTCTCTTGGCATTTAGGGCAGGGGGAATTCAGGGGAATATCAGTGTGGGGGGGCTAAGACCAGTATAGGAAAAGTGAGCAAGTTGACTGGAGGTATACTAAATATGAAGATGCTAAATAAATGCTCTGAGGGCTTTAAACCACTCCAAGACAATGACAGTTTAAAAACTGAGTTTTGCATTCAGATTTCTTTGTATCTCTGATAATGTCATTATCTTTTTTTGAACTGTTTCACTATAAGTATCTGAGATATTAGGATTTTTATTCTACCATTTCATTTTGTGAAAGTGTATGAGTAGTGGTTTGTTCTCAGGTTAGACATGCAGTGTTTGCATGTCAAGCACATCCAGGAATATTTCTGTAACAATTTTGTTGTTAACATTTGAAGGCTTTAGTTGCTGTTTAATAGAGGGTATTTTGACAGTGTTTAACTTACTGAGACTTTGCTACCAGTCAAACTAGCAGAAAAGTCAGAGAAATGACTGAAACATATATCAAATACTCAGAATACATAGAGAACAGCACTAATGTGTTACTTCACAGGGATTCTCAATTTAAAAATAATGTCTGTCTCATGCTTCAATTTCCAATGTTTGTACTAAAAACCTAAGGTTGGTGTAACTGAGATGAAGTAAGTTTGTTTTGCATGTTTTTGTTGAAGTAGTTTAATTGCTGTTGAGAAAAACACAAGATCAGGGGTTTAATATTCTCCCTACTTGCATGCAGTGCTTTAAGGTTTGCTGACCAAAAAAGTGTAATACATGCTAGATTAGAAAATAATATGGTAGCAATTAGAATAGCTTAGAGGAAGGGAAAGTGCCTTCATTTTAAAAGCAAAATTACTTTCCTCAGCCTCGCTGTCCAGCATACATGCTCACAGAAGACTGAGATACGTGTCCAGAGCAATTTGTCTAGCCTGTAGCTTTACCATCCTGTGCCACCTTTGTCCTTCGTTTCCTACTCTGTGTGTCCTGAGAACCTGCACATAGATATGCTCAAGGGTCTTGATGACCTGCTCATCTGAATTCCACCAAGACACACTGCTCAGCCAGTTCTTGTATTGCCATTTGTTCTTTCTTGGGCTTCTACACCCTATATACCCATTTGTTCTCCAGTCATAGTAATGTGAACACTTGCACTAAAATGATCTGTAATAGGTGGTCCTGAAGGGAGAAACATCACTCTGAATATAAAAATATCTGAACATAACTTTAAGAGATATATTAAAATATAATTCTGGAAGACACTGGATTAAACACAAGACTAACTGCAAGACAGGTTGGGATTCTGAAATCTCTGGCAAGTTTGTGCAAGGAATCATCTAGATAGAACTACAGGAAGAACGAGAAGACCTCAGGATCTTAGAAATTAAATGAGGAAGAATAAAATCCAAGTGGGTTTCTTTGACATTTTTCTTGTCTGCTGGCAGGCTCTGTAAAGCAGGAGACATGAGTAGCTGGAATGAGTGTGTGATTTGGCTTGAAGCAAACTGAAGTGGTTCGTTTCAGGAAGTACTGGTTCTAGGAGGAGGACACCAAGCAAGGAAAGCTAGGCAAATGAGGCTGTGTTCTATCTGTCAAGTAATGGAGGTAACATCCCTTACTTGCCTGCTAGCATAAGGTAACACATAAGGGAAAGTGCTAAAGACCAAAAAATCTTCCTAACCTTATGTTGTTCAGAAATGGAAGTTGCTTCCTCCCCTCTCGCTCTTGGACACCAAATTCAGTGGTTTTTATGTCAGTGACTACACAATGAGTACCCAAGATTTTAATTGAAAATAGATTAGCATGATTTAAACCTGTTGGATTAATTGTACTAGAGGAATATAAAACTAGGCAGTTGGATAGTGAGGCTGAGGAAAGGAATTATGCTTTTAAAATGTGTTTAGGAAAGATGACTAGATGAGAGAGAACTGGACTGTGATCTCTGCTTGTTTCAGTAAGTTTGAACCATGGGATATCAAGTGAATATCGTTATGCTGGCATGAGGTGTAGATTTTAGATCCAGTGCAGTTCCATTAGAAACCATTGGAGCCAAAGTGATGTGTTCAGGACCCTAGTAAGCATATATCTAAAGGTATTTTGAGAATTTTGTTTGGGAGGTCTTATGCAGCCAGTTCTGACATGAAGGTGGCATCTCTTGTTCCTTGAAATTTTAATTTTGGATCTTCTTTGGCTCACGGGATATGCTTGTGATACAGACATGACTTACAAGATTGGAAGTTGTTGAAAGACTAAATGACCCTCTGATCCATCATGATGGGTTTAACATCAGCAGAGCAAATAGTGTCCCAACTGCTGATAGATAGATTTCATGTTTCAGAATGCTTACTTCCCAAAAGCTGAAGGGGGGAAGTAAATGAGCAGCAGTACATGAGAGCAGACAGAAGGTAATGGAAAGTGAAATTGCTTTTTTATTTAAAGCAAAACAAAACAGAAAGCCCAAACCAAACAAAAACCAACTATCCCTCCCCCAAAACAAAACAAAAAAAACAGCAACCGAAAAACCCGAGGAAATACTGCAGCCTAGAATGAGGATAAACTTGGAGGAAAAGGCCCAATCCAGTGTCTAGCAAAAGAAATGTACATGTTCACATTATTCTAGGGTGTTTAGTTAGTCCTGTTTCATAACAAACATCAAGGAATGAAGGGGAGTAACATCAGAAGTTGTGTATATAAAACATAGATAATAAAAGTAAAACTAAAGGGATAGATGACTGCAGAAAGGAGCAAAGACTAAAAAGAGGAACCAGTCAATCCTCAGTGATTAAAGGAGAAGCATGTAAAGAAATGTTGATTTGGGTAGAAGGTGCATTTTTGGGGATTGTTTTCAAGTGAGCTAAGTTAGAGCTGGGCATTCAGTGTCTGTTAAGTCTCAGAAGTATGAAGGTTATGCCATATTTATTCTGAAAGCATGAGGAACAGTTTTCTACCTTGCTATATAGCTTTGGAGATCCATGTAGAAAGATAAAAAACTGTCCTGAGCAGCTTGTCAAGTACAAAGATTGGGGTGCCTTGATTATTCAGAGAACTCTGCAGTTCTCACTAATGTTCTCTAACCTGTGCTGGTTGGTGACTTCCTCAGATTCCTCCTCCTGTTTCTGTTCATGTCTTTGTGCCTGTCAGCTTGTTCTTGTACCCTCCTGCATGTCCCTCATCCCCTTTGCCTTTTTGTTTAATGTCTCCTAAATAACCTTTTCCAAAAAGACAGGGAAGCCATGAAGTGCAATGCTCACTGGTATTTCTGTGTTTGTTCTGCCTGTGTGTTTCAAGAGTAATGTATTTAAATAAAATGCTATGAGGGTAATAGCTCTTCAGTCTGGTGAGCCTGGAGTTCTTCTCCAACTCTAGGGGTTTCACTGTGTGTTTCCCTGACCTGGTAATGTTGCCTTCTCTTAGTCCTAGAAGGAGAAAAGCATTGATCTGTTCCAACATTTATAACAGCCAAGCCCTGTTAAATTTTATAGCAGTTAACCTAACATCCATTATTATAATGCAGTAATTAATAAAATATTTATCCACTATCAAAATAAAATCTAGAGGCATAATAAGTGGTGATTGACAAAGCTTTGTGGAAAATACCAGCATTCAAATAAACCTGATCATTTGTTGAGGAAAGAAGCTGTGTGAATGTATTGTTAAAACACTCAGTAAATAGAGGAATTGGTTAATTGGTAATCAGCAGTGAATCCATACGTCTCTGCTCTGATTTCTAGGGCATCTGCATCCTGTGTTTCTCCACACTAGTGTTGAACTTTGTTGCTAGTCTAAACTAGCAGTTTAAAGTTTAAATACTTGATGTTAGTTGCGAATTGTGGAATTTTAGCTCTGACACTCTCATAAGAAGGGTTACCAGTCTGGGTGGATTCACTATGCTTAATATGAAAACAGCAAATAAGTGTTTGGTGTTTAATTATAAAGAGGGACTTCAGAATTAGGCAAAAATAGTGGAAGAGTAGATTTGAAGACCATACTTGGCAGAACCCCTGTGGTGCTGGGGTTTGTCTCCCCTTTCACGTCTCAGACCCTCTCTTTGTTTCTGTTTGCATAGGCTCATAGAAATGTTGGATATTAGGGACCTCTGAAGGTTGTCTACTCCCAAGTTCCTACTTGAAGTGTCAGTGTCCCCAGTGCTAGAGCAGGTCAGTCAAGGTTTCAGGTGATTCTTGGAAACCTCCAGGGATGCAGATGCCACCCTGGGATCTCCTTTCCCCTCCCTGTTTAAGGCTGTGTAATGTACCAGATGAAAGGAATAAAGAAAGTTGATAATGAATGACAAGCATGACTGGAGTAAGTAATGAAAAAAATAAGGAAAGGAGAAGGTTTGTAAACTTGGATCTTGAAAGGTGGACTTCATGTCCTGTGCTAGTATTTGTGTCATTGAGGAATGCCTCCCTTACTGTGTTTGCTTTTAAGACCAGCAGCTATTTTGTCCTAAGTGTTGTCAGGAGCAAAGTCTTAGAAGACTAACACCAGTTTCATTGTAGCAATAGGAGTTTGTGCAAGCAGGAGCCTCTTGTCTCTCTGGCATTTCTATCAATTTGTATCAGGACACCCGAGAAGTAATTCTAACTTGGTAGTGAAAGTGTCAGAACCTAAAACTGCTGTGTCTGCATGAAGGTTTTTGTAGGATAGAACTGATAATAGAGCAGATCAGAATACTTATTTTCAGATACTAATTCATACTTTCTCACAAGTAGCTCCTTTTTTTCTAGGAAGTAACAAGGGGAACTCATTGCAGCCTGTAGGTTAGGAATTTACTTTTTTTCTACTGGAGAGATGATTACAGTATAACAAACTCAAGGCAAATATGTAGGAGTTATTTTCCTATTAAGTATCAAACTTACAAACCTAGTGATTGATTTACAGTTTCAAGGTCATATTTGCAATAAAAAGGGGCATAAGCTTACATTTTTTAAAAGCTTGGATTAGATATAATAGAACTTGACTTTCTGATGCAAGGTCCAATTCATGCTGAGACCATCAAAGTTTTGAAATTGTTTATATTTTCTAATATCTTGAATTTGTATAATTCCAGTAAAACTCATATCCTTAGGAATCTGTGTTCTATAGCTGCTAAGTGTTGATTTTGACTTCTTTGTTAATGAAGGTATTATATATTTTTCTGGCAGTCTCAGACTACTTTTTCTCAATATTTCATCCATTTAAACCTCACATTTACACTTGCAGATGTTTGTGAGGTAAAGAGAATACAAAATAACTGGTGGAAACTTAGGGATTGTTATCAAATTTGGGTTTGGGGACTGTTTAAATGCATTTCAAACATTATCTGTGTTGTACTTTGTCTCCATTGTCTCAGAGTAAATGGCAAGAAAGAAACATGTCCCAACTTTGTCAACAGAAGCAGAGTTTTCAAGAGTGATGTTAATGTAATAAAAAGCGCTCTCTGTACCTTTCTCACCCCCAGTGATTCTTTTGCAATTTGTTTTCAAGGTAGGATTGTTTTCTAAGACTGCTGAAGTGACATTAGCCTCCTTATGCTGTGTACAGCATTATATAGCTGTGTTTCTGGAAATGTAGTCAAAGATTCCTTTGTACAAATCATTGTATAATACCTAGGTTATGTACGGGATCAAGTTAATGTGATGAAACAGCCTTGACTCTCAGACTGCCTTTGTTTTTTTAATACTGCTCTCTTAACACCTAATTGATTTGGTCTCTTCTGGATTTGTACAGATTGAATTCAGAAGCAACTTATTCAGAGTGCTTATGATGAATTTACTTTAACCTAATTGTGTTTTCTGTGAGTTAAGTGAGGTGTGATTTGTAGCTGTGATCTGTAGCTTTGATCTGTAGGCTTCTCATTGTCCTGGTTTACATGCTTAAGATTTTGACAGTATTTAGACTCCTACCTGCATGCATTTTAATTTTCGCTTAAAATGTATTTTTTTGCAGGTTCTTGAAAGTTTGTGGCTCTGAATTAGTACGTCTTGAGTTGTCTTGTGGCCACTTCCTCAATGAAACATGCTTGGAGGTTATTACTGAAATGTGTCCAAATCTGCAGGAGTTAAATCTCTCATCATGTGATAAAATACCACCTCAGGCTTTCAACCACATAGCCAAAGTGGGCAGCCTAAAGCGTCTCGTTCTCTACCGAACAAAAGTGGAGGTAGGAACAAACGTTTTTGTAACTTTTGCAATTAATACTTTGAATCCTGGTAAAGTTGTCTTTTTTTTTTTTTTTCTTCATAAATTAAGAGAATTAGAATTTTGCATGTCAGTTCACCAGGGATGACTGTGGGATTGGAGCATGTCTCTTATGAGGAAAGGCTGAGGGAGCTGGGACTGTTTAGCCTGGAGAAGAGAAGGCTGAGGGGAGACCTTATTAATGCCTATAAGTACCTACGGGTAGGTGCCAAGAGGATGGAGACAGACTCTGCTCAGTAGTTCCCAGTGACAGAATGAGGGGCAATGGGCACAAGCTGAAACAGAGGAAGTTCCACTTAAATATGAGGAAAAACTTATTTATGGTGAGAGTGACAGAGCACTGGAAGAGGGTGCCCAGGGAGGTTGTGGAGTCTCCATCTCTGCAGATATTCAAGACCTACCTGGATGCAGTCCTGTGGCATGTGCTCCAGGGGATCCTGCTTTAGCAGGGGAGTTCAACTAAGATGATCTCTAGAGGTCCCTTCCAACTTTGACAAATCTGTGATTCCATGATTCAAAGGCAAATTCAGAAAATTCAAAGGTAGTTTAAAAAAACATAGGATTTTTTTATTTTAAAAATAGCTTCTGGATTTAACAAAAAATTAATAAAAAGCCTGCATGGAAGATTGGTGACTTTCACCAGCTGTTTTAAGCAGTGTAGTGAAATCATAAATATGGAAGCTTTTCTGTTCTGAAGAGTACACCAGACAGACTGTAATTGGGAAATTGTCATGTTTAGTAACTCTGTAATTCTCAACATTCTCTCCCTTAGAATGACTTGCTAATTACTAGGTTCCTACTGCCCTTGTATATTAGCAGTATTTGAGATGTGGAACACAGTTGTTGTTTTTTTTAAATACTTCTAATTTACAGTATAAAATTACTTCTTTCTGCAGTTACTCCTGTCTGAATTGGAGTTCTTACTGTGTGCTGCAACACATCTCCTGTCTAAGATGGAATCATTTTACATGCTACAGCTGATTGTTATAGTTTACGAGGTTTTATAAATGTTGTATCCCAGTAAATTCAGCAGTTTGAATTGGAACAAATTCCATTCCTTCTCACTAGCTACATCACTATATATTATAAACTTATTTCTCTGGTTTACATGGAAGCTCTAATACTCTTGTTGCAAAAGCTGCTGCTTAAGTAGATCTACAGAATGGGAGGAAAAGCTTGTTTCTTTTTTTTTTTTCTAGCTTTTGGTTCTAGGTTAGACATTTTAAGAAGAGTTTTATTGTGTGTTGCTTCTGCTTTTGGTACATGGAAGTGAGGTTATGACACTGGATTGTGTGGGGTGTTAGGCTGTACTGTAATAGAAGAACTGGCTCACACCTAACACACGTGCTTCAAAGTTAGTTGATTCTTGTCCTTTTTTTGTAAATCACATGTAGGTTTGTGTCCCAGGTCTGGCAGAGTCTCTCCAACAGTGGTTTGGTAATGCAAAGTTGTTAGGTTAGAGGGTAGCCTACCTGGGGTGACTGGCATTTGCTGTGGGGTGTGCAGGCAGTCACCATGGAACCAGTGCCCCTTAGCAATTTGTTATGTTGTGGTGGTTGCTCTGTGTATTGAAGCAAGTAGGGAAAAACTTATCCAAAATGATATTTCCAATGGATTATTCTAATTTTCTTTTTATGTATCTTACTGCCCAATTAGAGGCAGTCACTGGGATTAATGCATAGTAAAATTAGATCAAATGAGGAGTGAGACTGCCTTTTATGACTATAAAAGAGTCTGGTAATTCATTGTTAAGGGTGATCAAGGTAAACCCTTAAGTGGAATTACTGAAGAAAAAGGATATTTTTAAAAAGGGGCAACACTAAAGAGAACAGGAAAACCAAAATAGGAATGAGAACTCTAATAGACTTTTAAAGGAGAGCCACTCTGCATGTTATTTGTGATACTAGTGAGAAAAGGGTCATTTTCCTATTTCACAGTTGTCAGTTTCTGTTGAAACTTAATTCTTTTGATTGTGAATTTGGGCAGGTGATGAAATAGCATAGGATATGGGATAAATATTCTGTCCTTTTTGTCAGTATGTGATAAAGTTGTTTCTGGTTTTGCACTTTATAGAGTACAGTAGTAGTATTTTGATAAAAGAGATGATATTTTGATTAAAAAAAACAAACTCACATGTAACTGCCCAGATGTAGGAAAATACTTTTAGCCCAGGTGTAGAGAAAATGCTTTTAGCACTTGATTTTTTTTTTAATAATTTTTTTTTAACTTTTCCTTTTTATATGTTTACCATGACACTAATGGATAAATTCTGAGAAAATAGTCTGCAGAAAACTGACTGTTGGTAATGCTTTTTATTTGTTAGGTGCAGAAAAAAACAAACCTGAGCAAACCAGAAACTTAATAAATGTTACAACTTATTATGTAATCATCTGGGCAATTGTTTATGACAGTTTCTTGTTATTTTTGCTGTTTTCTTTGAGTAGGATTTGTATTTTAAAATATTCTCATAGGCTGTAATGGAAGATCCAATTTTTAAGTGAAGTTCTGACTGAAATGTGCTGTTGTGGTGTTCTGCTGCTTACTGGACTGCTATTTTGGAAGATAACTGTACCATCTGGAGAAGTTTATGGTCTTTGGTCCAAACCCTGCTGATTCTTAAGGCCACATATAATGTTATTTCCTTGACTTAAGGAGTGCAAGTTTCTGTGTACAGAATCAATTTCAAACCTCTGAATTGAACCTTCTGACACTTGAATTATTCCAGCCACTGTGTTTAAAGGAAAGGCAAGTGACTTCCAGAAACAAAAGCAAAAAACCCCAAACCAAACAAAAAAAACAAACCAACAGAATTGTCCTAAAAAAAATTTCCCTACTCTCTGCAGCTCATCTTTCCAGTGCTTTAAGTTCAATATTAAAGATTTCATGCTTAAGGGTTGTTTGATTGTGTGTATTTGTGTACATATCTATGTGTATACGAATATACATACTCAAGTACAATACATATGTATAAACAAAAAAAAAATGTAACTTGTTTTGAAGGAACATCTCAACATCTTATAAATGTCATTTCTCCTAACTCAAAACCACTATTATACTTGTGGGATTTTGGTATTTACTGATACACGACTCCTTAATATTTATTAAGTGAGCATTTTCACAGCATAATTTAAGCACTTGTTGGCATTGATACATTTGAACAATACAATGAACAATGGAGGTGTTATTGTATACAGTAATTGGCAATGCACATCTTTATGGTTACAGCATGAATATTATCTTCATTGAATGCTTATCGTGCAGTATTCCATCCCTGTAAATAATGCAGCCAAAAATGTATTTAAAGAAGCCACAGCCACAATTACAGTAGGAGGACTTGACAATCCTTGTATATAGCTGGCTGTAAATTCAAACGCAAGATTAAATACTTCATATTGTATGATGTTCTGCATTCTTTATATGATGCAAAGAAAAAGGGTTTTTAAGTTTGTATTACAATTATGATTGAAATACAAAAATAACAAAATTTAAGCAAAATTACAGTGGACAAAAGACTTTTTTGCACAAATTTTAAAGCAAGTGTTTTATTGATAAATTTTATCTTTGATACCTTTGAGCAAGAGCAAATTTGGAACTTGGGCAGCTGTAAGAGAGAATGCTGGAAATTTTAGATACCAAGAAGATGCAGAAGTACCTTAGCAGTAAATGTGACAGCTCTTTATTTTTTTATATGCTGAGCAATGAAAGCATTAATGCTGCCATAAAATTGTTCTACAGGTTTTTCAGAAATAACCTGTTGTACTTCTGAGTGCTGTTTTCTGAGGTTTTGCAGCTTGGATGAAACTTCACTGAGTTGGGTACAAATCTTCAGGATTAATAGTTGCAACAAATAGTGGGGGGAAAAAATGAAAGCCTCTAGCTGGAAAGTGGATTCTTGGAAGGAGGTTGAGCTGGTGACAAGTAATCATGCAATACAGGGCCTTGATGGTGTCTTCTGATCCCATGTCAGACTCATAGGGCTGAATTTAGTCATTTCAGCTTGTAATGTGAAGAGTGAGGGGGAAGAACAAAGGTGTAAAATAGATTTGCAGACATAAGGGAGGGGATAATTTGACCAAATGAAGCAAAACCAAAATACAGTAATTGAATTAACTGCAGAGACTATTACTTTCATTGAATTAATTCAGTAATTGCCGTGTTGCTGTGTCCCAGTCCCTGCTGTGTCCCTGGCACTGCCAAATAGCTGTAGAGAACAAAAAGGTGCCCCTGTACATCCTGAATACAAGCTTGCAAATTACACTGCATCTGTCTGTGAGGAGGCAAATATTTTGACTTTTGAAAGGCAACATCTGCACTCAGTAATAAGGTTCATTCATTTTCGTGTACCCTCGTTCTCTCTTACCTGATGCCCATAAGGGTGTTCATAGTGCATCTCTTTTGAAGCCAGTCTCATGAAGTTTAGGAGGCAAAAGTTTTATCACTGTCCAGTTCTTAATCTCAAAAATGTCCAATAATCCAAGTACATTGGGGGGTGGGCTGATTTTTACAAAAGAATATCCCAGTTGTTCCCCTTTTTATAATGTTTCTTTCCATGTTGTTTGTTCCGAGGTCATAGCTGATGGATGCTTGAGGGAGAATAAACTTCCAGTTCTACTGTCAGCTTGTACTGTGGAGGAAAAATTTTGCTACCATATTTATTTTTAATCTGCAAGTGAAAATTGTGCTAATGTCTCTATCCAGAAGGCATCATGTAAATACACTTGTGACTGTGGTAATAAAGGGCAGGGTGGGGAGATTATCCCCTTCTGCAGACATCATTTGAGGAGGTGTAAAAGAGACTGACTCCTACGTCATGTGCAGGCATTTCTGTGAAGTAAATTATTGGAGATTTTCAGTGATTACCTCAGTCTGGGCCTACATAGGTGTCTTATTCTTCCTAAAGGACATGGAGCTCCTGGAGCGAGTCCAGAGAAGGGCCACAAAGGTGATCTGAGGGCTGGAGCAGCTCTGCTATGAAGACAGGCTGAGAGAGTTGGGCCTGTTCAGTCTGGAGAAGAGGAGGATACAGAGAGACCTTATAGTGGCCTTCCAGTGCCTGAAAGGGCTACAGGAAAGCTGGGGAGGGGCTGGTTACAAGGGCTTGTAGTGAGAGGACAATAGGAAATGGCTTAAAACTGGAAGAGGGAAGATTTAGTTTAGAAATTAGGATTAAATTATTTAGTGTGAGGGTGATGAGACACTGGCTCAGATTGCCCAGGGAAGCTGTGGTTGCTCCATTCCTGGAAGTGTTCAAGGCCAGGTTGGATGGGGGCATTGAGCAAGCTGGTCTAGTGTCCCTGCCCATCCAGTGGGGTTGGAACTAGATGATCTTTGAGGTCCCTTCCAACCCAAGCCATGCTGCGATTCAAAGACAAAATAATTCTTACCTTTGCTTCCTGGGTGGGGTTTTCTGGTGTTTTGTGTGTGTGTGATTTGTTTGTTTGTTTTTTTAAATAATCCACTCTGCTCTTTTCTCAGTCTGCATAAAAGGGTAGCAGATACAAAGCCAAATCTTTGGCTCAGGGAAAACTCAAAAGATCTCCAAACTATACATGTCTTGACTACTGGGCTCAAGAACAATGTTACCTGGGTAGTCTTTGGGTAGTTTGACTGTTTCTGCTTGTCTGAGAAAGTGCAATGAAACTCCATGTTAAGGCATGCTGATCCAGAATTTAGGTGGCCTCTAAACTCCTGTTGTAAAACACTCTTTACATCTCAAGTTTGGTGTGTTACAGCTTCAGGGTGGAGTAATTGGCTTCCTCTTCTCCTTTGCTTAAGTTTTTGTATTATTACTCATCTTGCATTGCAAATCAGAGGGATGAATTGTACTGACAGATGGCTTGAAACAGGTTATTACAATGATAATCCTTCTATATGTAGTGCATACGGACTTTATGAGCTGCCATTCTCTCCTATTTTTATGTCCTTTGCCACCTGGATTCTCAGTTGACTGAAGCATGATTAATGTTGAAAAAGTACTGCAGTTTAGTACCCAAATTCCTAGTGCTTTTAAACAATTATTTGGGTTTTTCTTAATAATTGGTGAAAATAATACTGTAGGTTTTATAGGTTGTGAAAAGGCATCTGAAAATGTGGAGTCAGTGCACATAAATACAGGAAGGACTCTCTTGGAGTGACTCATTTATTAAGGTTTAATGATCCGAATGAAGCATTTGCTTAATAAGTATGTTATTTAAAATGTACTAGATATTTGCACGTTTGCTAGCTTTAAAATGTTCTCAAGTATTACCTCTTTAATAGTCACTTTTTAATGCTCTTGTGTTTAATTCCCTAGCTACCTTTTTCTTTAAAAACATGAATGAAAGTCAAGTAAGCAGGCAGTGGCTTTGTAAGACCTCTGCAAAGTTATACGTGAGGAAGGACTACTCATAGCATCTACTTTTAGGCTGCCTTTGGGAAATCAAATCTTAGAAGGCCAAGTCAGAAGCTCGTGTTCCATATATGTCAAGTGTTGGGTGTTTCTAATTGCTCCCTGGAGGCACCTAAATTAGATGTCTGAAATGGTCTTCATGAATACCCCATGCTACATTCCTCTTCTGTGTCTGCCAGCCTTTCAGTGCAAGGGAGCAGATATTTCTTCATGGTGATATGACACAGGATCATGTTCCTGCCAAGGAATATAATAAACTGAGGAAACTAAAGAAAGCATTTTACTGTCACACATTTCTGTTTTAAAAAAATATATATAAATTATACTATCCATGCCTAGTATTGTTGTAAAATAGTCAACAAATAGTCGTGACTAGTGTTCTTGTAGGAATGCAACTTACTAGCAGTAGATTATTTTGTCTCATATCTATATTGTTTGGACTTTTTGTTAGAAACTGTCATATATACTGTAGACATATACAGACTTTTGTTGTTACTATACTAATACTTAATCATCATACGGATTATGAAATCCTAATGAAGGGATGAATGTGTTAAGTATGGTGTACAGCTATTTGTGATGGGAATCGCAGACTAGACTGTGTGTGTTTCCAACTACAAAATATGGCTACAAACAAGGTAGAAGAATCTTTTTTGTATCTTAGAAACAAATAAAAACCCGTGAAGTTTCCCTTCTTGTGGAACAGAACAGCTGCCTGCTCTATGCTTTGTGAGATGCATCTGATGTTCCAGTCCAATTTCAGGCTGAGCAATGTGCGGTACTTTCTGGAAAGAATGACCATGGTAAATGGCAGGAACATGACTGTAAAATACGCATTATATCTGTTTCAGTCTGTATGCTGGTAGTGACAGGTGCTCAATGGTTGTCAGCATCCTTGTCAGCACAGAGACTCCTTTGACATTAAAGTCACCAGCTCGGTCCTGATGCTGTGCAGCTCTATTGGCAGTTCCGTCAGGCTGCAACCGATCAGCGAATGTCAGAGCCTCCACTCTTCCTCTGCTATGTCACCAGCCCTCTGTGTTTTTGGGCTGGCCTTGCCTGTTGTTTGAACTTGCTAGCAGCTTTCCTGTGGGAAATGAGCAGATAGGTCATGGGTGTGTAGGTATCTTCAGGGCAAGGCAAAACCACGTCCAAAGTGACTTGCATAAAGGTTTGTAACAATTACCATTGCTGTAAGCCAATCAATGGGTAGAGTACCCAGGGACTCATTAAGTGGCATTTGTGGTGTCTGTAACGGAGTTTTGAGCTGTATTTCAGAAAATGTGGTGACAGCCTTTAATGTCTAATTGACCTCTTCTCTTTGTTTCACTTTCCTTATTTCCTTCTGATGGGTTCCCCCGTGGCAGCAAACAGCCCTGCTCAATATTCTGAACTTCTGCTCGGAGCTGCAGCACCTCAGCCTGGGCAGCTGTGTCATGGTGAGTACTCCATGATGGGGGTTGGGTGTGCATGTGTGCATGTTTGCTTTGGGGCTAGACCTAGGTTTACATTTCACAAAGACATGTTAAATGGTCCTAAGAGGTCCAAGGTGAATGCACGTTAGTCATATCGTTAAGAGTTACCTACTAGTTTAATAGGCCTAAAACATAGCTTGTAGGGTTTTTCATAGTTCTGCCTCTTTCTAAATTTTGGGGCATTCTATTGTCACTTTTTATTTCCAAACATATTCAAGACATTTATATTCAGACAAAATCATCATTCCCAGCAGACTAAGACTTATGTCTGACCCTGCAGGAGTAACCGTGAGAGAAATACTTTCAGCAAAAGCTGTCTGAGCTGCAGACTTGCTGGGTGCATTCACTGATTTAAAGAAAGCAAATCCAGGGACAGCAGTGATTCCTGCAGGGCTCTCATCTGAGCTGTATTGCATGTGTGTGGCTGAGGTGTCTGTAGTGGGATGCTGGTTTGCTGCTGTCCTTGGTGGTAGACCTCCCAGATCACTGATCAGGGAGACTTAGCTGACCCTCCTTGTTATTCAAGAAGCAAGTGACAAAGCAGAACTGGCTCAGCCTTTCCTGCTTCAACTCATGGACTAAAGAAGGTGGCACTGTGACCATGTGTTTTCTGCAGTTTTTGATAGTGGATTTCATTGCTTCTGTCTGTGTAGTGGGACCCTGTCACAAATGGTCCCTGTGGCTTGCCTGAGGTTATTAATAAGACAGAGATGCAGCAACTGATCAACCTGGAATGGAAATAAGCACAATCTCTGTGTGTTTATGGTGGTCATGACTATGGTCATAAAAGCTGCTTTAATCACCTTTTGAAGGAAGAACAACTGTACAATAAGAAGAACAGGTTTTCTAAGAAAATTAAACTTTCAACTGTGTTTTCAGGTATCCTTCGATTGAAGCGAATTTAAAACCATCTGTGTCTGGGAATTGATAGAAATTATTTAGGGGGGGGTCTTCTGTAAAAGTAGGCCTCACTGTACGGTACAGTTAAGTTTCAGAGCTCTTTAGGAATCTCAGATGCTTAAGACAGATCTGTAGGTGTGTTAGCAAGCAAATCTTGAAACACCTATTCATGTCTGGGAAGATGGTATACATGACAAAGTGTTTGCTTTCCTTGCAGATTGAAGACTATGATCTCATAGCAAGCATGATGGGAGCAAAATGCAAAAAGCTTCGCAGTCTGGATTTGTGGAGATGTAAAAACATAACTGAAAGTGGAATAGCAGAATTAGCTTCAGGCTGTCAGCTTCTGGAAGAACTTGATCTTGGTTGGTGCCCTACATTACAGAGCAGCACAGGTTGTTTCACAAACCTTGCACGTAAACTCCCGAACCTGCAGAAGCTCTTTCTTACAGCCAACAGGTCCGTGTGTGACACAGACATCGAGGAGCTCGCTGCTAATTGCACCCGTTTACGGCAGCTGGATATATTGGGTAAGAAAATGGGGAACTGCTGGTGCATTTCTTACTGTGTCTCAAAAGCTTTGCAATTAAAAAGGAGTGCCTAAGACAAAACACAGAATCAAAGAATCATTCTGGTTGGAAAAGACCTGTAAGATCGTCAAGTCCAACTGTTAACCTAACTCTTCCAAGTCCAATGCTTAAAACGCCTGTAAAAAAAACCTAAATACAGGCTAACTACTAATAACTTGAGCATTTGGGTACCAGTTCAGCCAGTAGAAGTTTTACTGACAATGTTCTGGGTTTAATGTGCAATCCTATAAGCCTTTTCTAACTCCAGCTCTTGTGTTCTGTGTTGGGTGCCCAGGATGGGAACAGCCAGACTCACAGCCCCCAACATCCCAACCCAAATGGATCACCCCATCTTCAGCAAGAAAGTATCAGAACATGAAAAAAAACCCAAGCTACCTCGAGGCTAGGCAAATCTCACATTTAATCTAATGCCTTTTGGTTAAGTCTGTTTCAAAAAGTAATTTTTAAGGACCTGTATACGAGGGGTTTGCAAAACTTAAGATTCTGTGGAGATAACTGAGTTTTCCCCAAGACACAAGAGGAAGCAGATTTTGCAGCATCTAAACACACTGCAGTACAGCATACCCAGCAGAGCTCTTCAGAGACCATCTCAGCTAATTACAATGTACAGATGTCCAAGCTGAACTAAGCTGTTCACAACTTTTCACATGCATTCACTAAATGGCTTAATTGACGATATAGATAATGACAGAATAATTTCTAGTAAAAACACATGATTTCAAGATGTACCCAATTATGTCTGTGTCCAAATGTTTCTAAAACACACACACAAACCTGTGGGTTTGTATAAGGTTTTTAGGCACCCAGTGTTGGTCAGAGTTTGCTGGAGAAGCTACTTTTCCAATTAAGCGAAATATTAATCATTATGCCTTTTCATATGTTAAATATAACCAGAAGTGATTGTATATACATCTCTTGGTGTGTTTCTCCATATTTTAAGAGCATATTGCCAACAGAAGGTACTTTGCAAGGTCAGCTATTTCATCAGTCATCTTCACTTTTCTATTCACCTTTCTTCCATTTTGTCCCGTGTATTCTTAATCTTTACCATATACTGATCACAACGAACAGCCCTCTCAAAGGGGAAGCCCACCTGGAAATTCCCAACAGGATCTCCAGATCTTGAATTCTGATTCATTCAGGCCTAAAACTGTTTCTAGACATGTTTTAAAATAAATATTTATTAAAACTATGGTTTAACATATTTTTTTAAAAAAAATAAAAATGAAGGGAAGTTTTACTCACTGCAGTGAGTAAATTTCTGACTTAGAATCCAGTGAATTTATACCATGTAATTTGACTGCTTAGCATGAATTGTTTAAACTAAGATTCAAGTGTGTTATTTTTCCAATAAGTTTTAGTTTCATGACTAATAGGTTTTTAACTTAATATATTTTGATTATCAGAAGATCCAACTTCTTCTTTCTGCTTTTGTTTGTTGTTTTAGTGGAGTGTCACAAAGTATATTTATACTGCAAGCCTTTGATCAATAGGCAGGTTTCTGCTTTTACAGATAAACCTATATTCAGTATTAGTATATTGAATTTCTTTGTCATTTTTACCAGGGAACAAATTTGACTCAATAAAGAGGAAAAGGTAATTAACAGCAAAACTTAAAGTGAACTTTCTCCTAAGGTGTGCAGGAAGTGATATAGGGCAAAAAGCACTGCAAATCTTAAGTTTCTAATTCTCTTCAGCTTCTGTAGTTTAAAATATTTTTAGAAATCTGAAGTAAATATACTTTGGACTCTTGAGTAAGGTCTTTTTAAAATGTTATTTTGCATTATACTGAATGTATTCTTTGTATGTTGGAATATGAGGGTTTTTTTAAAGTAGTATAGGACAACAGGGTTATTTGTGATATCAAGGTGGGAGAAATTTCTTCATGCTTTTACTGACTTATTTTCACAGGGTTGGTTGAAACAGAAAGATGCAAATTAAAGGGAAGATAGCAGTAGTACTGCCTATCAATATTTAGTAATGATAATGAAAGTATTACATTTAGGTTGAAAGAGGTGCTAGAAGGAACTGAGTGCCCTCAACTTGAATAATTTTTCAAACAAGTTTAAGGCTGTTGGCATGTCTTGTTACAAAACATGTACTATATGTGTTCAGATTGTCACTCCTGTATAGCTGCTAGCACACTCTTCTGTCATGAAATATGGTTTTACTCAGCTCTAGGAAAGTTACCTTCTGACCAACGTGGGAAAGGAGGATGAACAGATAAAACCTTACCTCCACCTTGTACAAATTGTAGAGGCTTGATGGATATGTCCACAGGAGGCAATATGTTTTCCATATCCTTAAGGAAATCTGCTTCATAGCTAGATGATGAAGGGCCCATTTCCCTATTCAGACATGAACATTTTCACAGAGCATAGTGAATTAAGTCTTTCATGAACACATATGTTCCCCTGACCACCCACTTCCATGCATTTCTGTCACAAAAGCATTGTGTCTGCCCACAAAGTGGTCTGACCTCTTCACTGCACCAGAGGCTGTCCCATGAGTGGTGTGGCTGTGTTGAGCCTATGGATAGTCTGCTACTTCTGTGGCCTCTCTGCTGGCAGTGAAGGTTTGTTGCAACAATTCTTCTGCAGCGTTTGAATTAATGTTTTCATTCAGTTTAACATCTTACTGATGACTTTGTGGAAAAATGACATGAATGTGGAAGAGAAATTTGCTCTGTTCCCTGGGTGCTTACTAGTACTCCTGAGCCAAGTGGATTTGTGTCAGCCTTTCCCAGTGAGATGGTGTTCTGGGTTCAGATAAGTGCTCTCCAGAGGATACCCAGTTAATTTATCTGCAAAATGTTACCAACCCCCTAAATACCCACCTTCCAGACTTCACTTTCTTTCTTCAGAGGAATACTTAGTTGGGGAGGGGGTAAAGTTGTCTTCTGCTGCAGATGAGTCAGTACAAGGTGATACATGTGAAGAAGTTACCCAGGTTTTTTAGCAACAGCAGGGACAGTATGTTCGTTTCTTTGTTTGAATATGGGAACCATTACAGTGTGTGGTTAAAAGGAAGAGTTGTCAAGTAGAACAACATCGGGTCATCTGAAGGTAGAGTTGCCAGGTGTTCCCATGTAAGTGCAGAAGTTGCTGTTGTCTGAAACAAAATGCAAGTCTCTCACAATGTGGGAGTACCAAGAAAATAATAAATCTGTGTGGTCTAACTTTTGGCAGCTGATGTAGAGCCATCCTGTTACTGTAAGTTTATAAATGCTTCATATGTTTTTGTGCTTTTGATGAGTTGTGACAATAGGTCTGAAGTTGTTAGATGTGAATGAACAAGAGGTGCTGTCATTATATCATAGAATCATAGAATGGTTTGGGTTGGAAGGGACCTTAAAAATCATGCGCTTCTACCCTTTGTCATCTTGCAGGTACAGACATGTCTGACTTGTACATGGATTGTGAAAGGCGTAGAAGTATTGCTGCTAGGTTAACAGTGCATGATCATAAGGGAACTTCTTTTACTTCAGCAAAGCTGTGTAAGAGTTTGAGGGGTCTTGCTATGTGCAGGCACTTAACTAAGTAGGGATCAGGATGTCTTACCTTGCAGTCTCCAGAGCTGACAATACTGGAGTGGTTTATCTCTAGGTTAGACCTCATGAACTTATCGGGCAAAACCTCTTGTTTCAGTTGTAGATTATTTATCACCACAATAGCTTCAGGATTCATTTAAATGTTAGAAAGTAGATGTTATATATACCATGGATGCTGTTTTCAGGGGTAGGTCCTGTGGCTTGCTACCCATCTTTAGTCTCTCCATTACTCTTTGGCAATTACCTTGTTACAGGATCACAGGGCTCCATAAAGTTATTGGCCCATGTACAACATTGTTCGGTGGGTGGCTGTGTTGGTGGTATGTAAAACATACTTCATAAAGTAAATGTCAGTTTACAAAAATAAATCATGGGTTGGATTGTAATAGTTTGGAAGAGGAAGAATGATGTAAGCATGTAGAGTACACGAGGGTGTGCTTCTTGAAGTTTTAGTTCTGAGCTTTCTTTTATCCATTACACACTAACCTGACTGCTTAGAACTATCGTTTCCTTCTCTGCCCACATCTTTTCCACTGACTGACATGGCAGGTTTCCACTCTGCAGTAGAATCCCAGAATCCCAGAATGTTAGAGGTTGGAAGGGACCTCAAAAGATCATCCAGTCCAACCCCCCTGCCAGAGCAGGGTCACCCAGAGCACATCACACAGGAACATGTCCAGGTGGGTTTGAATGTCTCCAGAGAAGGAGACTCCACAACCTTTCTGGGCAGCCTGTCCCAGCGCTCTGTCACTCTCACAGGAAAGAAGTTTTTCCTGATATTTATGTGGAACATCCTGTGTTCTAGCTTGCACCTATTGCCCCTTGTCCTATCATTGGACATCACTGAGAAGAGCCTGGTTCTGTCCTCCTGACATTCACCCTTAACATATTTGTAAACATTGATGAGGTCACCCCTCAGTCTCCTTTTCTCCAAGCTAAAGAGACCCAGCTCCTTCAGCCTTTCCTCATAAGGAAGATATTCCACTCCTTTAATCATCTTTGTGGCTCTGCCCTGGACTCTTTGAAGCTGTTCCCTGTCCTTGAACTGTGGAGCCCAGAACTGGACACAATATTCCAGATGCAGCCTCACCAAGGCAGAATAGAGGGGGAGGAGAACCTCCCTTGACCTACTAACCACACCCTTTCTAATGCACCCCAGGATGCCATTGGCCTTCTTGGCCACAAGGACACATTGATGGCTCATGGTTATCCTCCTGTCCACCAGGACCCCCAGGTCCCTTTCTCCTACACTGCTCACCAGCAGGTCAGCCCCCAACCTGTACTGGTAAATGGGGTTGTTCTTCCCCAGATGCAAGACTCTACACCTGCCCTCATATTTCATTAAATTTCTCCCCCCTCAACTCTCCAGCCTGTCCAGGTCTTGATAAATGGCACTACAGCCTTCTGGTGTGTCAGCCACTCCTCCCAGCTTGGTGTCATCAGCAAACTTGCCAACAGTGTACTCTTGTTCCCTCATCCAGGTTGTTGATCAATATATTGAATAGTACTGGTCCCAGAACTGACCTCTGGGTGACTCCACCAGATACATGCCTCCAACTGGACTCTGTCCCATTGACCACAAGTCTCTGACTTCTTTCCTTCAACCAGTTCTCAATCCACCTCACTACCCAATCATCCAGACCACACTTCTTCAGTTTAGCAGTGAGGATGATGTGGGAGACAGTGTCAAATCATAGAATCCCAGGTTGGAAGGGACCTCAAGGATCATCTGGTCCAACCTTTCCAGGTACTACTATAGTTTATATGGGATGGATTAGCACATGTCAACCTGAGACTTTAAACTGTCCAATGAGGGGGAATCTACCACTTTCCTTGGGAGATTATTCCAATGTTTGACTGTCCTCATGGTGAAAAATTTACCTCTTATGTCCAATTGGAATCTCTCAGCTTGTGCCCATTGCCCCTTTTCTTTTCCATGTGACTCCTTGTAAATAGGGAGTCTCCATCTTCTTGGCAGCTAGCCTTTAAGTACTGAAACATAGTAATAAGGACCCCCAAAAGCCTTTTCTTCTCAAGGCTGAACAAACCCAGCTTTCTCAGCCTCTCCTCATATGGCAGATTCTCCAGTCCTCTGGTCATCCTTGTGGCCCTTCTCTGGACCCTTTCCAGCCTGTCTGCTTCCTTAACCTTGTTCCCAAAAGTCCTGACTGCCTCTGTCCTTCACAAAAAGAGTAATGAAAAGCAGACACTTTTGTTACTGCAAAATTCCTGTGTTCCTGTCTACATACCAACACCTCCCACACCTTTCTGAGCAACAGAAAACCCAACTGCCCCCTTGCCAGCTGTCAAAATTTTCAGCTTTGTCTTGAGACCATCAACATGTAGTTAGTCAATTCAAACCTGAAAATGTGTAGCATGTTAGAATTTAGAATTGGACTTGTGTGCAATAGGTTGAATAAAATTTAAAGAATAAAAGGCTAGTCTGGCTGGTCTAGGGGAGGAGAGGAAAAGTAAGAACATTTGAAGGAATAGTGCTAGTTATCTTGAGGGTCTCTACTCTTAACTATTATCTGGTGTGTAGTTATCCTTTGCCTAGGAACTGGGGCTCTGCCAGTTTTTACAGCCATCATACACAGGTCTCCTGAACAGCTCTAGAATTTGAAGACTTGGATCTGTGATAGATAAATATGAAACATTTTACAGTTAATAAGCATAATTATTGTAGCAAATAAATAATGACAGAGAAGTATCATTTACAAAGGTGATACCAGGTGATTTTTCCAGAGCATAACATTTTTATTAAATTAAATAGCGTATTTTATCATACCAGTTACGGATTTATTCTGAGAAATGGCTGGTTAGTCCATGTAGGAGAAGTTACAGTAAATAAAAAAGGTCCAGAAGCTTCCAAATTCTAGGAAAATGAACTTTATAGCTAACTAGCAGGATACATTTGTCAGTCTTTCAAAAGCAAAAGTGCTGTATCACACGTATAAAATGCTTTTGAATGTGGTTTATAAAAAGCTACATCACTAATTGCACAGTGTATAAATAAAAGTAGGAATACAGACAATGTTTGCCTGTCATGTGAATAACCAAACCCCAATCAGATTGCTGGCCTACTTAGCTTTTAGATCAAGTTATTTCCTGACATAAAATGTTAAGTCTGGGAGGGGGAAAAAGAAATAGTTGCAGTAAATCTTGCAATTTGGGATGGTAGCCTTAGTTACAAATCCATTAAAAAACTTAGTCTTTGATGAAACGGTAGGAGAACTGTTGAAGTTCAGGTAGAAAGGAATTAAGAGCATTCTACACAAAAAAATCTGTGCCTAGGCATCTAGATCGAGCGTTTTTGTAGAAGGGCACTTTTGGATCTTGGAGCTGAAAAGCGGTGATGTATAAACAAGACTGGGTTTAAATGAAGGTGCTGATGCAGTAGCAATTTTAAGGCTTGGTGGAAAAATGATGAGTAGCGTAATGTGGTGTTAATGGGGTTTTGGTTGGAATGGTAAAGCAGATCCTAATAAGATAGTAGTACTATGGTAAAATTATGGTCAAGTGAGGTAAATAGCTGAAGGATATTATGGAATTTCTGCGTGTGGCTACAGGAACAGGTTGTCACATCAACCACCAGACAGTTGTGGTGACAGGGATTATATAATGATAAGGGAGTTAAAAAATCACTGTATTGATGACAAGCTTTGATTACCTTTGCATGGTTGAGGTAAAATTCAGGGGCATCATAACAAAGGTTGTTTTCAGGTAATGTTAAATGATTTCTCAAAGCAACTAATCCAAGAGCCTACCACAGAAATAAAGACCATACTTAGATACTCTCTTGCTTTAGAAGAAGAGTACAGGAGACTACTAAAACTAGAGGTATATTTCTGGAAATGAGGCCTGTTCAGAGAAGCAGAAAATGAAGGTGAACTCTAGAAAGTGAAACAAAATTGCACTAAGGCACTATGAGATACTAAGGAACCATTGGTTAAAGGTAAATGCTAAAGCTTTTTTTCAGATACATTTGAAGATGTTTTGAGGAGAGCTACTGAGCTTGTTAAGATGCTTCAGATATGAAGGATCACTCAGGAACAAGAGGTCCATTGTAGAAAAACTGTTGTTTGTGCATTAGTGTTCATGGCAAAGGGGATCAAGTAGGCTTCTACATCAGAGCCATTCTCTCCGGGCAGGAGATTAGCCCAGGAAGCTGCCTTAAATTGGAATGCCAATGCAGAAAGCTTTTAAGCAAATCAATACATTGAGCAATAATAAATTGTTAGGAATAAATGGTATTTGTGCAGGAGTTCTAAATGAGGTCAAATCCAGAGCTGTGGAAACTTTATTTCTGGTGGCTGATGTGTCACTTACATCAGCCTCAGCACTAGAGGAATGAAAAGTTACAAACATGGCATGATCTTCTCTGAAGGGTGCAGGTTAGAAGCAACAAAACAGTAAGATTGCTATTCACTCTGTATAAAGCAGTTGCAACCATAAGAAAGTCAGTCAGTCAGAGACATGAAGGCCATTTTGATATTTTGAAGAAGAGCTGCATCCCTGTGAGGAAAGTACAGCTTTGCCTCTCCTGTTTGAGAGTTCTTTGGAGTCCTTAGTGCAGGTGAGCACTGGTACAGTCCATGGAGGATTGACTTTTCCAGAGCTTTAGCTAAGGTTGTTCTGCTTTTGTAACTTAGCTGTGTTCTCTTGGATTTTAATGAGTATTTCAAAGATGGACAACAGAGGATAAGAATGTATCATCTCTTTTCACAGTGAAGTAACATCACTTCTGTGGTTACTGTGGGTCTGTACTGATCTGTTTATAAGTAATCCAGACAAAGGGGTGAATAGTGCTGTACCTGAGGGTAATGCACAGTTATTCAGGGTAGAAAAATCTTAAGCTGAAGAATTTCATGCTGAAAACTGATCCTACAATACTTAGTAAACAGATGATAAAGCAGGAGAAAAATTGTTCCATCCAGTGCAAAGTAATCACGTGAGACAAAGTAACATTAACTAAGCATATGGAAGGTGGCTTTATATTTGTTACTGTTTTGTAGGAAAGTGATCCCACAGACAGTTCTTGGGAAATATCAGGTCGTTGCTCATCATCGCTCTTAACAGACAAACAGGTTAGGATTTCTTAGGAAAGAAAGGGAGAAAACACCAGAAGACCTCATTATACAGTTCCTGACTTTGTGAAGCCTGAGCATCCTGCCTGGCTTTCAGCTGTTCCAGTAAGGCATAGATGTCCTCCTCTGGGTGCAGAATTCTGCCTGCCAGCTCTGTGTGGGTGTCCTACACGGTGTAAGGAAACCCAAGGGGCACTAGGCACTTCAGGCAATGGAATTGTTGTCCCAGTGCTCTGTCAGCTGAATCAAGTGCTGTACTGACTAGACTTCCATGAGCTACCATGGGTTTGTGGATCCATGCTTATAAACACCTGTTTGATTTCTGTGTGAATCCTGTGCTTGATCTGACCCCATGTCAGGCACTTGGGAGTTCAGTTGCTGTGGTCACATTTTTAGCAGGGATAAATAATGTGTTTTGTGTTCCAGTTAGAGTACATACAGATCTGGTTGGCAGTCTGTTAAACAGCTACCCCTGCATGTGTGTCATTCCCACACTCACAGTAGGGTCCTAGGAGCCTTGATGATGGGTTTGGGGTTGGAGCAGCCCACAACAGCTTGTGTGCTGTGCTGGGCAGTGTGGGCAGCAGGACAGTCAGGAGAGCATGAGTATAGCCTGCTGTGTTGCTTGCTTCCAAAGCCTAGCATCTGGTTACTGGGGGGGCTTGTGAACTTGGGTGCTTGGCTTCTGTAGTTAAGAGATTCCCCTTGAAGTTGTAAAGTTGTCCCCCAGTAGAAAATTATGGAGTTGCTTAAGCAGTTAAGTTAGGAAAATACAGTAAGTTTCTTGAAGGTAAAAATTCTGCACTGTGAGAAGCTTTTGATTTGAAATATAATTGAAATACTCTATATAGAAACATGTTATAGTGGCAGTTTTTTAATGACATAGTATTAGCAGCTTTTAAAAAGAAGACAATTCTCAGTAACCTTGTAATTTGTTTCTCTTTTTTTGTTTCTGAACAGGGACGAGGATGGTAAGCCCTGCATCTTTAAGAAAATTGCTGGAGTCTTGTAAAGATCTTTCTTTACTCGATGTGTCCTTCTGTTCACAGATTGATAATAGAGTTGTCCTGGAACTAAATGCCAACTTCCCTCATGTGTTCATAAAAAAGAGTTTCACCCAGTGACTTACTACATATGCTGCTGTGGAATTCATTTGACAGAGTTGTTTCCTGTGAATTTGTGCTGACTTTATTTTTAAGAAGAGTATAACTCCCCTATGAAATATTGGAAAGTAGTAATTATCTACGCAGATGGGTAAAATACATTTAAATATATTATGCATTTCTTAAATACTTGATATTGTACCTAAGAATTGTTTTCCTCTGTGTTAATTGGTGGCACTGCATGTTTTTGAATACCAGCCATATGTGCGACTTAATGAGAAGCAAATTAAAAGCATTTTGCTAAATATCCCTTTATAGGGTGTTACACACAATAAACTGTGCTAATATCCAGGTGAAAGCAGAAGTTCAGCATTTAACAGTAAGGAAAGGATGGGTGCTTCCTTTTTCTGTTTCTGTGTTTGTGTGGGTATATATAAATGTATACAGATGTATTTGTATATACATACACAGATACTGTAGCATTCTGGGTTGGCCTGCAGCATAAGATGTTGTGATCTGGCCCATAACTCATTGTTTGAAAACCTCTTCAAGCTTGTGTAAGAATGGATTGAGAAGACACTGTTGTCTTCATTTTTTTGGCAATGAATTCTGTCTGAGACACTTGTCTCCCTTCCTCCACCTGAAGTAGATGTAGTGAAGTTTTACAGTCCAGCCTTAGCGACACAAAAGATAAATGCAAGAACCTTCCACCTGAACTTAGAGCAGAAAAGAAAGAAAATTGCCAGCTCCTTCTTGTAAAGTTTGAGCCATGTACTTAGTGTCATAACTGGCAATATGTAGAGCAATTTTCTTGTCAAATTACTGTCGTGGTAAAGACTTGCTTTGTGGCCCATCTGGTTATTGTGCAGAGTACCAGCAACTGTCCCTTACACTGGCATCAAATCTACTGTCAGGTGTAAAACTAAACATCCTTGTTTGGTAAAACAGCAATGAAAATCTAATGGTTTTGAAACCAGGGTGGTATGATTTGGTGACTTCATGATTGCCAAACCTTAGTCTTGGATTTGTTTTGGGGTTTGTTTTTTACTTGTTTTTCTAAGAGGTGATCAAAGTACTATTGCACTCTCTCTCTATAACACTGTAACCTCTGGAGAAGGAAAGCTGTGTCAGTGGACAAATTCTAGAGGTTTCTTCCTTTTGCACTTCCTTGGATGAAGCTTTTGTTGTTGTTGTTTCTTTCCTTAAGTACCACTGTTGGAGGATGTTGTTGTGTACAGCCTGAGTTTAGAATTTCATCTCTTTAGCCATTGTTGATGAGTACGGACCAGAAAAATACAGCCTGTCATTTGATAAGGATCCCACTGTTCTGTTCTTGAAGGTACTAATTACCTACTGGAATAAGAAGAACAATATTTTGTCTGGCAGAAGTCCATCATTGCACTGAAGATCACTGGCACAGAACACTTCAGTGTATGTGGAAAATAACCAACTGCTACTAGAGAACTGCTACAAATTGTTCCAGATTTGACAATCTCTGTGCCTCCTGAATGAATGCTTTGAACTCTTTGTGCTGGTGCCAACACTTGATGAACCATGTCATGAAACAGCTACAGAACATTTATCTGATTTTATAGAAAGACTTTTTCCTTCAGATTTTTAAATTTTACAGAATCTTTTGGGAATTCCAGATCCAAAGAAGGGCATGCACAGTTGGCTTCTTGATTATTTTTTTTTCCTCCACACAGGTGGCACTGTGGGATTTCTAACTAGATTATTGCATTCCATTTATTACTTTTTTTCCAGAAAACTGGACACTTTCAGAGATCTTTAGATTGTGTTTATTTTTTTTTATCCTCACTGACAGATGCCTGTCTTGGTGTTATCCTGTGTGAGACCTCATTTCTTTCAATCAGGATTGGGTTGATTTATTTTTCTGAGAACTTAACTTCTACCTTTTTTTTATCTACAAGTAATATTTTTCATTGTAATTGAGCATTAAACATTCTTGTTCTAGTTATAGGAGAACACAGCTTCAGCTAATGGAAGTTTACAAAGAACAGTATTTTTAAAAAGTTTTTGTCGTGAAATTTCACTTCTCAGGGTGCATTTGTGTTTATCTCCTTTTTTTTTTCTTAGAGATCCTACTTGTTTCGTTTTTCACTGTAAATAGAATAGGATGTGGATGAAGTGATAGCCATTGTGCCTTCAAACTGGTAAACTTGGTAAATAAGACACTTTCACTTTTACAGCATCAATCAAATCAGTCAATCAAATTACTGTTTCTGTAATCATGTATGTGTAAAGGATTTCATTCTCTTGCTTTTTAGGTAGTATAAAAGAGTTTTAAATTGACATTTTGTTCATACTAAAGGATTTTTTTCCCCTCTTATGTTGTGCCTTCTTGTTTAAATTGGTTTTGTCAGGAAATCTCTATGGCCAATTGAAAGATTGAAGTCTGCTTTTTATTTGGATTATTTAAAACTTAGCTATTGCTAACACATAATTAATTAAAACAGCTGAAAGATAATTGGAAAAGACACTTCAGCCTTCAATCAGCAGGTAAGAAGCATTTTTAGCTATGGCTTTATGTGGCCAAGAAGTCTTCCACCAAACTTGACATTTCTACTATTTCCAGGATGAAGGAAACGAGATGCTTTTAGACCTTCCTTATATGACACAAAGAAGCAAGAATAGATCACTGTCATTTTAATTCTGCTGTTTTATACTTATGTGTGTGTATCTATTTATACATATATATGTATAAATTATATGTAGACACATGTATGTGTATATTAAAAAAAATTGTATGTGTGTACATACCTATACATACATGTATAAATACCAGATTTTTTCATGTAGGAATTACTTTTGTGAAGTGAATGTAATAGCAAAAGATGTCTCTTAGCAGTTCTGTTCTCAACTGTTGTTTTACTGTACCTGGAGATCCAGTTTTTCTCCAGTTGTGCAGCAGGAAAAGCCTGGGCAGGAGGGGTGCTGGATTTCTTGTGTTGCTTTGCCAAAGTGCCTTTTGGTTTGTGCCCACGTGAAAGGTCCTACAGGGTATGGAATGCAAAGGTCAATAACTACTGTGGACTGTCTCCTGGTGAAGCAGTCATACAGAGGGAACTTCATTCTGGTTTCATTTAATCCAAAATGAATTATGGCAATTCCTCAGTTGGAGGAATTCAGTTCCTCTGGATTTGGGCTGTCATATCCAACTCTAGGCCATCCCTCAGTCATGTTATCTAAATTCTACTTTTAAGGTTATTCCTTTTTTTTTTTATCTTGTCCTTTGAGCTTGAATTCTGAAGAATTCTAAAAAAAAAAAAAAAGTGCTTTGGCAACAGAAGTGTAAAAAGTCTTTGCTAACATGTCCAAAAAAAGAGGCTTTTTCTGAAGTGCTCCTGTTCTTAAACTAAAGGGGGGTTCTGTGCTATTTGTATGAAATTGGTGTGGGATGGCTTGTGGGGAGATATGTCATTCTTTTGGTCATTTAAAAAATTCCTATGATAATTCTATAGTTTAAAGAATCTTCCCAAATCTTGGAAGGCTTCAATTCAATAGGGTGTTCCCTTGCATTCATCATTCTGAGCTGTTTGGTTAGATACCTCTCTAGAAGTGGACGGGGTTTCTGCTGTTTAAATTCTGCATGTGATTAAGTACATTAGCAGGATTTATATGGAAGAACTTCATAATCCCCATGTATTTGGAGGTCCTGATTCCTTCCATGGAGCTTTCATGACAGCTTTTCTAGGTAAAAGATGTCTGTTAATCGTGGTACACAGTGAGTAAAATTCACCTCACTGAATCTTAGCTCTCTGGAAGTTAGACATCTAGTTTAAGGGAGGAATCTGGGCACCTCTGGAGAGCTATTAATCTTCTCCTAAGATAGATATTTAAGGAAAATAGATTGAATCATGTTCTGGTGAGCCTCTCTGGAGACTGTGGAAGCTGTGATTTAGCTGAGGTTAGATACTTGGCTTTAGAATACTAACTTGAGATTAATTCCATCCGGAGCTGTACTACCCGTCTTGGAATAGCAAAAATAAGACTGGAACAAAATCCATCCCCAAACCTCAAAACCCTCCAAAATCCATCTGGAAAGAGGCACATTAAAGAGATGCTAATGACTTGAAAAGTCACTGTTTTAAATGTCAGGATTTACTTTTGCCCCCACATCTCTTGCCAGTGCCTGTGTTGTGAGCTTGTTGGTTGGTTGGTTGGTTGTTGGAAATACATCCCTTTTCCTTGTTCTGAAGTCTCATGTGCCTGACTGGCTGGATGTACAGTTCTGTAAATACATGAAATTAATGGGCAAACATAATTAATGTATTGCAGTTATTTTGATAACCTTTCATACTGCTAGAATTAAGGCTGTGACTAGTTGAACTGCTCTCCTGTCATCAGGAATGCTGCCCATTGTGCGGTTGCAAAAAATGTGTTTGGTCCTGGTTCTTACTCTGTGTACTCTTTGGATCCTATGGGATAGGCTTCCCACGTCACATCTGCAGGACTAAACATTTATGAAGACTAGAGAAAATGTAGCATTTTACTATATGGAGTATGGGGGTGACTTTATATAGTGATTTATGTGATCATTACTACTCTTCTGCAATGATTCTGTATGTTGTAGCCTTGGAAGTTACTAGGCTAGAAATTCCTGGTTTAATGCATCTGTAGATGCTGTTTTAGACACAGTCAACATTTTTCCCAAATTGAGGCATTTGTCCTCCACTGAGATGATGATTTCTGTGATTCTAGATTTCTGACTTGATAATGAAATCCAAAAAGGGCTCTTCATCAAACATGACCAGGCATGGACCAGGTTGTGATAATTGGCATTAGGAAAGGCTGAAGTGTGAGTCTTGTGGGTTTACAGATCCTCATAATCTTCCAAGAAGGGCCTTGGTAAGAGGTGGCTCTTTTAAAGAAGATTCAGCCTCAGTAGGAGCAGGCAATGGTGAGGTTTTCCATTTTAGCTAAGGACTAAGTACTGTTGTTTTAGTTTCAGTTATGTAGATCTGGTTTCTCCCTGCCTCGTTTTCATGTAAGAATAAATGGCACAGTTAGGACAGGCATCCTAAATTGGATGGGGTCCCTTGTAGAGAATTCAGTTTTTAACTAGCATCTTTTCTTCCTCTCTTCTAAAAATGAGCAATAAAAAAACCCTCAACTATTTGAAAGCTCTCTCTTACTCCTTGCATGCTGAAGAAAT